TGACTTATATACTTTAAATAGGTGAACTGTATTGGTTGTCAATTATATTTCAAACTGCTTCAAATAAATAAAAAATACAGTATTAAAAAATCAATAGTATGTGTACAGTAGTAGTGAGTAAACAAAAATGAAATTAAGAAAAACAATTTCAGTTACACCAGCATCAAAATAATAAAGTGAGGCCCTGGCCGGGCTCAGCTGATGACAGTGTTGTCCAAACATCAAGATTATGGAGTGACCCCGGTCAGGGCACACACAAGCAGCAACCAATGAAGGCATGATTAGGGAGAAAAACAAAGCGATGTTTCTCTCTCTCTTTCTCTCTCTCTCTCTCTCTCTCTCCCTCTGTTTCTAAAAATCAATCAATAAAAAAATAATAAAATTTAGGAATGAGTTGAACAAAAAGCTTTTACTCTGAATACTACAGAACCCTATTGAAAGGAATTAAGTTAGTACTAAATTAGTAGAAAAACAAGCTATGATCATGGCCAGAAGACTATAATAAGGTGGAAAAATTTCCAAAATTTATAGACTCAATATATCTTCAAAATTTCCAATGACATTTTTGTAGAAATTGACAGGCAGATCCTAAAATTTGCCTGGAAATCTAAGGAATGCAGAACAGCTGCTAGAACCATGTTTTAAAAAGTAACGAAATGGAGGACTAACACTTCCAGTTTCACAACTAACTTAAAAGGTTCAGTAGATACAATGGTGTGTGGTAGTGGAAGGCTAGACATGGACGAGTGGAATATAAGTGAGAGCCCAGACACAAGCTTTCACATTAACAGATTGCTGGGATAATTCACTGCAGAAAAAAGACTTTCCAACAGATTGTCATAGCAAAAAATAAATAAATCTTAACACAGACTTATACTTTAACAAAAATTACCTCAAAGTGATGATCCATTTTGTAAATCACAAAACTATAAAAAAGCCTATACGCCCTGGCTGGTGTGCTCAATGGTTAGAGCACCGTCCAGGGCACGGAAGGGTCACGGATTCCATTTCTGTTCAAGGACATGTACCTGGGTTGCGGGTTTGCTCCCGGGCGCATGCAGGAGGCAACCAGTCATTGTGTGTCTCTCTCACATTGATGTTTCTCTCTCTCTCCTCTCCTCTCTCTCTCTCTCTCCCTCTCTCTCTCTCTCTCTCTCTCCCCCCTCTCTCCCCCTCTCTCTCTCTCTCCCCCTCCCTCCTTCTCTCCGTCCCTCCTCACTCTCTCCGAAAAGCAATGGAAAAGTGTCCTCGGGTGAGGACTAACAACAACAAAGCCTGTAACAAAACACAGGTGATCATCTTGGGTTTGGTGATGAGTCATTAGGTGTAACTCAAAAGCACAACCCATGAAAGAAAAAACCTGATGTTGTAATTTATTAAAATAAAAAACTTATGCTCTTCAGAAGAGAAGCCACAGACAGTGAGCAAATATTTGCAAAACGCATCTGAAGGAGTACTGATATCCAAAATATATAAAGTACTCTCTTCAAACACAATCAGAAAACAAACAATATATAAAAAAACAATATAAAAATGGCCAAGGAACATATAAAATGCTTAACATCATATATCATTAGGGAATTACAAATAGAATCAGTGAGATGCCACACCCACCTTTAAAATGGATGAGCTACAAATCAAGGACACCACTAAACGTTGGCCAATGTGAGCAACAGAAACTCCTTACTGCCGGTGGGAACGCAAAATGGGGCCGTCACTTTGGAAGGCAGTTTCTTTTCACCTATGACCCACAGTCCGGTTTTGAAAATTTATTTCCACACAAGAACCTGCATGCAAATGTTTATAACAGCTTTATTCATAATAGTCGATACCTGGAAACAGTAGGTCCTTTAATAGGGAAATGAATAAACAAATGGTTGCATAGTCTCACTCAGCAGTAAAAGGAAATTATAATACATAAAACAAATGTTTGAATCTCAGGTTATGTTGAGTATAAAAGCCAGACACAAATAAGTATGGATGGGATAATTCCATTTCCATGAAGTGCAAGGACAGACAAACCCGTGAGAGACCAGTGTTGCCCTTGGGTGGGGCAGAGGTGTACTGACTACAAAGGGGCACTTCCTGGAGTTTTGGTGATGTCATGCGTCTTCACACAGATGTTGGCTATGGGTATATATATTTGTCAAAATACATAAAATGGTATACTTAAGACTTAGGTATTTTGGAGGGTCACAGGGGTTGTGATTGCGGGAGAGCAGTTTCAGGGCTTCTGAGGTGACTAATGTTGGCTGCGAAAAGACACCTGTGGTTAAGGGCTCAAATTTGTAGCCAGATCTGGCAGCCATTGTTTACAGCGGTCCCTCGCCCAGGCTGCATTCCAGGGAAAACCCAGACTGGGCTGCCAGCCTCCTGGCCTCCTGCATACTCCTGCGCTAGGAGTTGACCCTTAGAAAGCAGTTCCTAGGATAGAATTTGACCAATAGAACTTGGTCTGTCCTGTTCAATTGGAGCTGCACAGCTATATCCCTATTTGCATCTTCACCATCCAATCAGAGCAGTTCCATTCCTACCAGGACTGTGCTATTTGGATTAATCAAGCTGTGAAGACTTGGAGTCCTCATTTGCATAGAAGTGGGCCAATCAGGAATGGGGGCAGGCACTCTGTGCTAGGTAAGTCAGCTTCACCTGGGTCTCAGCAGAGCACACTTGCAGTTCTGGCTGAGCTGGGCATGCCCCTGGGTGCTGGAGCTGTCCCACCTGCGTGGGCAGGGCTGGCTCACTGGAGCTAAACTGTGACCCTCCCCAACCTTGGGCCCCTGGCCAGGGTGCTCCCCTGAGCTGCCCCACAGCCCTGCTACTAAACAGTGTGCTAATCCACAGTTAAGCCATTTTCACTGGAGTCTCCAATCACCACCCCCAAACTGGGGACTCCTCAGTACTGCATCGGCAAAGGTGGCTTTCCATGGACACCAGCAAAGTTCTATGTCTTATGTTAGGGAGTAATTTCAAAATTATTCTTTTAAGAATTTATGAAGCTATACATTGGTTTCATTTAGTTTTGTGGATCTGCGCTATATGACAAAAAAGTACAGAAAATGCCTTTCAAAGGTGTCAATTTCACGCCGGGCTCGGCTGGGTCAGCTAACCTCTAAATAACTTTTAAACTCTAAGTGGTGTCTACATTACTCTGACAAAGTAGCTGAAAATGAAATAGCATTTTAAAAATGAGCTTCTGAAATTTCTAGGTTTAAAAAAAATGCAATTTTCTAATCCAAGCAGATGGGTTAACACTTTTTTCCAGGTTTATTTTTCTTTTTCACTATAAACGGATGCCAAATCCAAGTCTTATCTCAAATACATTTCCAATTCTTTCTAATCTTCAAATAAGTATATGAGTGGTAGTTTTCTGGACCAACAGCCCTTAATATCTGGACTTCTCAGCACTACCTCCTGGTCATAAATTCCTGGAGAGCACAACTAACAGAATCACCAACTAAAAGCTTAGCTGGTGGCTACCATGAAGGAAGCTGCAGAGGATGTCGATGTTACTTTTGAAGATCAACGAAAGGTAAACAAGTCTGCACAGAATACAAGTGGAATCAGAGCTGAAGGGAGAAATAGATGCAAAAAAGATACAACCCCAAACATGGAAGGTGCTTGTGAGGACATCCTGAAATGCTCAATGCCATCTCACCGCACTGGCGGCTTCACAGCCATTCTCCAAAAGAAGCACAAGAGATGTTAGAAGATGCAAAGAAAATGTTCAAGAACCTGACGCCTGAGGACCCAGCTCAGCGGGTGTTGCAGTTCTGAAAGTTCAGTTTATATGAAAAATTTGGGGAACGACATAGACCTTGCAGTTGATGAAAGTTAAACATTCTGTCTGGCTGGTGTGGCTCAGGGGTTGAGCGTTGACCTATGAACCAGGTTACGGTTCAATCCTGTCAGGGCACATGCCCAGGGTTGCGGGCTCAATCCCCAATAGGGTGTGTGCAGGAGGCAGCTGATCAATGATTCTCATTATTGATGTTTCAATCTCTCCCTCTCTGAAATCAATTAAAAAATAAATACATACAAAAAGTTAAATATTTTATAATACTTAAAAAACTTGCTTAACAAACTTGAATATTGTTTAAATGATTTCTCTTCTTCAAAGGATACGAAGGCAAAATTTTCTTTTGTAAAAAAATTGTCATTTATTTTAATGGAAACCTACCTATTTTCATGTCTTGCTTATTTATTTTATATTTTAAGACTACTCATCTGTGTATTTTGCATAATGATTATATCAAGTGTAGGGCTTTTAAGTCATACTATTAAAATCAGTTAAGGGAAAAAAAAGGCCATATGCAAGCCCTACCTGGTTCGGCTCAGCAGTTAGATCGACAGCCGCTCAGACCAAAGGGTTGTGGGTTCGATTCTTGGTCAAGGGCACATATTCCCGTTACTGACTTGACCCTTGGCCCAGGTCTGGGTGCATGTGGAAGGTAACCAATTGATGTGTCTCTCCCTTCCTCCCCGCTCCCTTCCACTTTCTCTAAAAGTCAGTAGGAAAATAACCTCGGGGGAGGGTTAAAACGGAGCAGAACCGTGGGTGGCTGAGTCTGCAGTGACCACCGCCGCCACAAGAGGGCCTTTCACTGGCGACGGGGAACCAAGCTGTGGGACAGCCATAGGATGGAATGCTCGCTAATCAGCAATAAAAAGCAATGAACAATGTCACCTCCATAAATATAATTTAAAAAAGCAATGAACTCTTGAAACTAGCAACATGAATGTAACTCTGTATAGCTTTCCATTACACTGTGTAAAAAAAGCCCGACTACTTCCCATAAAAAATAATATACTGGATGATCCCATTCATACATCCCAGAAAATGCACACTAGAGCGACAGAAAGCACATTAGCCGAGATTGGGGAGGCAGGTAAGGGCGAGAGGAGTCACAGGTACAAGGAAACTTATGGGTCTCATAGACACGTTGACTGTTCTGCTTTTGGTGCTTTCATGAGTATAAACAAATATCAAACCGAATTTCATACTTTAAAATGTTTCGTTTATTGTATACCAGTTAGTTTTCAACAAAACTGTTTAATAACGTTGTGCACAAAGGCAAGATGCATCCCCGCTCTCCCAGCTTCTGACTGTGCTCCCTCAAAAGGTGGAGGCAAACGCACACTTGTTCTGCCTGCGCTGACAGCGAGGCCTGCGCTGCCGGGCGTCCTCTGACAGGTGACCCAAGTCTTGTTTAAATGAAGGGGCTGATCCTTTGGAGAACAGGCTTGTGAAGCAGGGTCCCTAATGCCCGAGACGGCCCTCCACTGGCCAGCACCCCCACCAGCCACAGGGCCATGTGCCTGGAGCGGAGAAGCGGGGGTGCTCCTCAGCAGGCACACCAGCCGGTGCCTAACAAGCAGCAGTGTTTTCCACGTGGGCTCCACGCCCCACGGAGCCCCAGGGGGAGCAGCTCGCCTGCTCCAAGGACTTCTCCCCAAGGTCGTGCAGGCCTGTCTCCGAACCAGAAGCCAAAAGCCTCTCTTTCAGCCCTTCCCAGGTGAGACCTTCGGCTCTAGGTCTAGGAAGGCTGCTCAGGGAGGCCTGTCAGCATCGGCACCGGCGGTCTCAAGTTTGCTGAGATCAGGGCAAAGGGAGGAGTGCCAGCCCCAGGGTGGCAACTGGAACTACAGGTGTAGCCAGCAGAACCCAGGCTGGGTGGGAGACAGGGTGCAGGTGCCCAGGGACGCCTGGGCTACCGCACCCGTCGAGCTAGTTACCAGGAAGCAGTAACTATGACCACAAGACCAGGGGGTCAGTAAGCCTGTGGCGTTCAGCGCAGCACTGACTCCAAAACCACTCAGATGCTCATGTACGAAACCCCGCGAGTCCTTTATTGACCTTGGGAGATGTGTGGCACATACAGCTAATGGTGTCACACCGGCCGCAGCAGCACAGACAACCAAGAGCCGCTTCAGAACGGGGACCTCAGGGCCATTCGTGGTGCTGCCTGCTCCGAGCCTCCACAAAACCCAATGGACACACGCAGGACAGAATAGAATAGTTTCACTTTGAAATGGTTCTTAAAAATGACAATAATTGATAGTTCAAACCCCTTAGAGTGTGAGATGTGCCGTTCTCAGTGCCATGGCGCAGCTGAGAAAGGTGGATAGAATCAAGGCAGTGGGAGGGGGGCTTCTGTGTGGATGAGAACAGCGGTCCAGGGGCTACTCCCAGCCCAGGCTCAGCGCAGGCCGACAGGACTCATCAGGTGAACAGTTTTAAACCGGAAAGCTGACAAATCCAGCCCTCACCGCCCACTGATTCCAGCGGGCAGCCCTGGGCCCAGGAGTCCCTGCTGACAGTGCACTGAGGAGTCACTCAGCGCTGACCCTCCGTGACACCGACGCCAGGCGCTCTGCCTGCGCGTGGGCACTAAGGAGCGCTGCCTTCACCTCAATGTTCCACTTGGAGACAGCCAAACCCTCCGCCGCCCGCATCTTTCTTCACCAACTCGTCTCCACAGCCCTGCCTCCTGGGTCTAGACTTTTTCCTTTCGCTTCAGTTTCGATACCTTCTTGACAGTCCCATTCTTGTTGAGAAGCTTCAGGACACGGTCTTTATGATCTAGAACCTTCAGCATGGAGTCTCTGGCCTCGCTGATCTGATCCATCACCAGCTTACACCTCTGCATGTTCCCCTGGAACAAAAGACAGGCCACTGTCAGTCAGTCATCGTGAGGTGCCTCAGCTTTAAAGAACGTCTCCATCTGTGGACTGAGACACTTTGAGGCTTTCACACAGAAAATGTCTGAGTGTTTCTCGGTAATGCAGACTGAAGTGAATAAGCGTTTGATAAACTAAGGAGTGGCTGGAGGAGAGAAAGAAGCAAGCGGGTGAGGAGGAAGGAAGAACTCGCTCCAACCTGGATGAGTTCGTTGATGCGGTGCAGGTCGTCGTCAGTCGCCGCTTTCTTCTTGGGGATGATCCCTTCCTGGAGGCTGGTGAGCCTTTCATAAACGTCGTGCTCTAGATTCGTCTGTAACACACAAGGCGGTGACAGTGGGACCTCAGAAATGCTTTTGCCTGAAAAGCTCAAGGAACACCACCAAGGCAAATAAACCACCTTGAACCCCCTTTTTGAACTGGTGTGAGCTGTTCTCTCAATGACGAAAGTGATCACTAACTTACAATACAATCTGCTGTAATTCAGAGTTCTTTTTCAAGGGTAATTTTTTTTGGTTAATCCTCGCCCAGGGATACTTTCCCCATTGATTTTTTGAGAGAGTGTGGAAGGGAGGAGGAGAGACAGAGAGAGAAACACTGATGTGAGAGACACATGGATTGGTTGCCTCTGCACAGGGATCAAGCCTGCAACAGAGGTACGTGCCCTTGACCCAAATCGAACCCGGGACCCTTCAGTTCAAAGGCTCATGCTCTAGCCACTGAACCAAACTGGCTAGGGTAAGGATAACTTTAAAAAAAATATTTTTATTGATTTCAGAGAAGGAAGGAGAAAGAGATAGAAACATCAATAAGAGAGAATCATTGATTGGCTGCCTCCTGCACGCCCCCCATGGGGGATTGAGCCCCAAACCCGGGCATCTGCCCTGACTGGGAATCAAACTGTGACCTCCTGGTTTGTAGGTCACCGCTCACCCACTGAGCCCCGGGGGCTGGGCAAGGATTAAACACTGCCCTGGATAAACTCCTCTGGGAAACAAGTTCACATGGTGCACAGACATGTGCTTCTCTGTGAAGTACAGAACTAGCCCCGCCCCATTTACACACAAAACCACAGTCGGGTCCCAGCTACTCCAGCGATGGAGAGACTCCTGAGGCAGTTCCTTCCCTGCGCCCTTCCCTCGCTGGTGAAGAGGAGACCCCCGCCCCAGGGTTCTGGAAATGGCTGAAACCATGACCCTCACCAACACCGGACAGATGGGATCAAGAGCAGTTTACTAGCCAATACACTCCCAGCCCAGGGGGGAGGGCACTGCACCTCGAGGGGCCGCAGGGCCAGGAGGGTTGTCCTCAGGACCCAGTGCGCACGCAGCGGCTGCAGCAGGCAGGCTCTGTAGTGTCAGAGGGCGAGGGAGCCAGGGCTCCCACAGGGCAGTGAGCAGGGGGACCGTGCCTGGTGGCCGGGGAAGAGCAGAGCGGGGAGGGTGCACAGGGGCTGTCTGAGGCCGTTTCCGGTCACTGAGCTGAACTGCAGGTCTCACACCAGAGGTGCGCATAGGCTTTGGTTCTGCGAACCAGAACTAAGATATAGTTAGATCATAATTACACGTATGAAGCAGACACAGGAATGGGCACGCCCTACCAATTATCTCAGCGCCATGCGATTGGAGACGCTTCGGATCGCTCAGGAGAACCACGGCGGGAATGCGCACCTGCAGCACCACACCCTCCTCGCAGGCCCAGCCCCACCCCCACATACCAGCTGTAGCAACTGGGCAGCACAGAGGTGGACTTTCCAGCCTTGGGCACGACAGGACACTCCCTTTTGGCTGGCAATTTCCTGCAGCATGGCTTTCTTCTCCTCTGGAACATGAAAAAACAGAGCACAATCAATTTCCAGAAAGTAAAATCCTTAAGTGCAACTATTTTATCAAGAATTTCCTTGGGGGAGGGTTAGAGATCACCCAAAGGACTTGTATGCATGCAACTAGCAGAACCAAAGGACACAGACACTGGGTGGTGGGGGCTTGCCCTTGGGGATGGGAGTGGCTGGGGGGGACGGTCAATGGGAAGAAAAAAAAAGACATATGTTGAACTTTAGACAATAAGAAACAAAATAATTCCTTTATTTAAATGTCTTTAAATATAAATCCTTTGCATTTAAGCCATTAGGAATAGAGGTCACAACATGAGTAAAAGCTCTTTGTCCATCACTAAGAATGCTTGAAAGACAGGCTCTGCTGATCTAGTGAGTTCAAAAGATGGCAAGTTATTATTCTACTTTCTTAAAAGAGGGAAATGGTCCTCAGTGGGCAGAAGCCTCGCTCATGTGTGATGCTCGCAAGCAGGTGGGGAGCTGGGCAAGACGTCCTCAGAGGCTCCACAGTGCTACCAGGTCTTGGAGAAATCACAGGAATCCAATCTGTATGACACTTAAATCTGGGTAGAAAAGTCCAGTAATCAGAATTGCGTAGTATGACAAAAAGTATTTTTTAAAAATTTAAAATTTAAAAAATTATTTAAAAAATTCTTAAAAAAACCCCAAACACCCACTATGTATTTGTCAAAACCCAAAGAATGCACACCACGAGCACTGAGCCCTGATGCACACAGTGCGCTGTGGTGACGACGGTGCCAGAGCAGGCCCGCCGGGTGAGCTGTGGTGACGACGGTGCCAGAGCAGGCCCGCCGGGTGCGCTGTGGTGACAACAGTGCCCACGATGGGGCTGCTAGTGGGAGGCTCTGTGTGGGGGGCAGGGGTGCATGGGAAATCTCTGCACTTTCTGTTTTTGTTGTGAACCTAAAACTGCTCTAGAAAGTTCATCAATTAAAAAAAACCCAAAACCCTATGTAGCAGGCAAATATTAGCATGAATATGATTAAACAATTTTTAAACTTTTTGAGGTAACTGTAGATTCACATGCAGCTGTACGGAGTAACAGAGATACTGTGTCGTCTCACCCAGTTTTCCCCAAAGCTTCGGAATTACTCACAAGAATACTGTGCCACAGTTTTGTACATCACAACTACAACGCTGACAGAGAACTGACCCATAGGCACCACATTTTAGATGTGCTGTAAGCGTTTAAATACATTTTCAGTTTGAAATGAAGATTCACAGGAAATTGCAAAGACAATAGAGATATATTTGATAAGGGACTTTTATGTAGAACACACGAAGAATTACAATTCAGCAATAAGATAACAAACCAATTAAAAAGGGCAAAAACAGAAGAGAAAAACCAAGATGGTGGCATAGGTAAACACCGGAGATTACTGCCTTGCACAACCACTTCAAGAATACAACTAAAAGACGGAACGGACATCATCCAGAACCACAGGACGGCTGGATGATCTGGGGACCCAGACTCATACGGGAGAAACTGGACTGTCTGGCATCAGTCGGGACTCGGGTGCAGCTTTCTCTCAGAGGTGCTTGCAGCGATTACCAGGACACTGAGAAGCGGGGCCTCTTAGGGCAGGACTGAGAAGCAGCCATAGCTGCTTGCTCCGCCCTGTGGATCCCCTGGGACCCCAGCCCCAACCAAGCTGTGCGCTGGCTTTTGCATATGAAAGGCCTGGCCCTTTGCAATCTGAAAATTACCTAACAAACTTGCAAGGCCCCAGGGCAACTTGCATTGCTTCATAGCTGAGCTCCTGCTGCATAGCCTCAGGCAGAGGCTAGATTAGCACCTCCTTAGAGATCCAGGAGCCAGTGTGCCCGGTGGTCAGAGTGGGACCATCCAGATTATAGCTCCTCGGATCCATAAAGGACACACTCAGGGGGCAGACTCAGTGAGCACCAAAGCCCCATCGAAGCAAGTCTTGTCCCGGAGGGATGTCTCCAGCACAGAAGTTCTCCTGCTGCAGACACAGCTGATTCTCACAGCCAATTGGCCTGGAGGTCAATTCCTCCCAGTGATACCTACAACAATCAAGGCTTAACTACAACAAGACTGTGCACAAAGCCCACAAGAGGGTGCACCAAGAGTGTCTACCTCAGGTAATTGGGGAGGCTGAGCCACTGGGCCCTAGAGGACACCTAGCACACAAAGCCAGTCTACCAACATAGGGAAGCATAAAAAATGCGGAGATAAAGAAAACAGGTCACAAATGATAGAAATGGAGGAAAGCAAACTACTGGGTATAGAGTTCAAAACCACACTTTTAAGGTTTTTCAAGAACTTTCTTGAAACCGCTGATAAATCTACTAAGACCCTCAAAAAGTCTGGTGAGACCGCCGATAAATGTAGTGAGACCCTCAAGAAATCTAGTGAGACCCTTGAGGCTATGAAAAAGGACCGACTAGAAATTAAGCATACACTGACTGAAATAAAGGATATTACGCAGAGTTCCAACAGCAGACTAGAGGATTACAAGAATCAAGTCAAAGATTTGAAATATGAAGAAGCAAAAAACACCCAACCAAAAAAACAAAAAGAAAAAAGCATCCAAAAATCT